TATTGGCTTTGCCAAGAAAGGCAGCTATCTGGCATCTCATTACAATAACGATTTCAGATCACGGAAACAAGCGAAAGCCTGGCATCCTAAACCAGTTAAACGAAGCAAGATTGGAGCAGAGGACCTTTTATCTACATGGGAGAACTAACTCCTCTCTAGCAGTTTGGGAGCCTCCTTCTGGTGCAGATTCAGCCTTTATGGGATGGGCGAGGCAGGGCCTCAGCCTAACAAAGCTGATGAGCCATTAGCCTGAATAATGGGAGGGTCCGTGAGTGCCAAGCTGGGCCTTGGAGACCCCGACCCCCTGTGGTTACAGTGTTCGACACCTGGATGAACAAAGCTTCCTTCCAAGCGTGGCAGCTCAGATTCATTAGCAGTGGACTATGGCAGTGGCTTCAACCGTGCCTGGCGATCATCAGATTCCCTGGGGAACATTTAAAACTCTGACAGCCTGGGTGGGGACCCCAGACCAATTACATAAGAGTTTCTACGGCTACATCTGAGTCTCAGAAGTCTTTTTCAGCTCCTCATGTGAATCTAACCTGCAGCTCAGGTTGACCCCCCACCCTACCCCAGGCCCTGGGATGAAGCAACCTCTAACACGCCAGACCATCTGGATTCACACAGGGACTTGCTAGTCAAAGAGTAGTCCAGTAAGTAAGATCTGAGAAACACTAAACACAGATTCCTGGGCCACGGCCTGGGCCTACTAGAATGGAACCCCAGGGAACTGGCCCAGGCATCGGCATTTTAACAAGCATCCTAGCTCCTGAGTGATTTTTTATGATAAAGATTGGGAAATGCTAAAGCAAAGAAAGTCAGGATAACTGGGCCTAGTCCTTACCCCACTATGTGACCTGGGACAAATCACATCACTTCTCTGGGCCACAGTTTCTTCATCTCTAAAGTAAGAGGCTGGACAAGATCAGTAGTTTTCAAATCTTTTTATTTTCAGCAGTATATCAAAGTTCCCAGCTGGGAAGGGTGCTGCCTCCCTAGGGGCATTTGGGAATGTATGGGAGAATTTTGGGGGTTCTCATTAGGACTGGAGCTCTACTGGTATTTAGGGGCAGAGGCCAGGAATGCCAAACATCCCACAATATATGAGGGAAGTCCTCTGAGATGAAAAATTAATTACCCTGCCCAAACACTGACAGCTTTCCTACTGAGAAACACCATAGCTTTAGACAAAGGAAATACTACTGCAAGCCCCAGTCTACGAAGCAGTTACCATCAGAGAAGTGGTGGTCAATCCTCTTAGAGTGAGCAGAGTACAGTTCACAAACCTGCCTCTCCTTGCGTCTCCCCCATGTCTGTCACAGCCACCCTTTGCAGTAGGCGGGGAAGGGATGACTTATTAGCCCCATTTAATAAACGGAGAAGATAAGTTTCTTCAAAGGAACCCCAAATCACCCTAAGATTTCTTCTGGGTCTGGAGTTGCAGTCTGCCTGACTCCAATGACTAAGCTTGGGCTGCATTAGCTTATGGGGCCATGGACTTCTCGAGTGGGGAGGGAGCACAAACAGGATGAACTTGGGTTTGTCTGCACCGCAAAGACAGTGACTTGTCCTGTCTTGTCCTCAGGGGTGCGGTTCCCGACAGCTGGAATTCCCTTTCCCCAATATCCCCTATTGAGGACTATTCCCTATCCCTTTACCTTGTTTATTATATCCCTCATTCCCTATACCTTTATCCTATTTATTCTACTTTTTCCATAGCACTCATAACCACCTGACACACACAAAGTTTGCATGTATGTATACATACATACATACATATATGAGTATATATGTGTATATATATATATTTGTTCTGTGTCTCTCCCCACTAGAACATAAGCACCAGGGATTTGGGTCTGTCATTCCCAGCTCTGTCCCCTGCACCTAGAACAGTGTCTGGCACATGGTAGCTACTCAGTATACATTTGTTGAATAAACACATGAATGTCCTGAAGACCTGTCCCCAGGAGGCTCTGGGCCGGTGTGTCACCCCAGGGTGGTCACCGTTAAGCAGAGGCAGTGCCTGCCAGCAGCTGCCAGCTCTGGAGTCAAATGTAGTATTGATTCCTATCTCTGCCACTTTCTAGCTGTGTGACCTTGGTTGAGTCACTTCCCTGCCTGCAATTTTGGTTTCCTCTTTTATGACAAAGGGATGATAACATCTGCCTCTCAGGGAAACGACCTGTGAAAAGCACCTAAATGGGAAATTCCTCAGAGGAGGGCTCGACAAACGCAATCCTTTTCTTCCTGCTTCCTGCAGGAAGTCCCATGAGCGGTTGTCTCTGCGAGTTGTCATTCTGTGCACAGCGCCTGCTGCATGGTCTGCACCATCTACCCCCTCGGCTGTTGCTCCATCTGCCCCCTCCGCCTCCCCCAGGTCTGACCCCACCCGCTGCATGTACACACACAGAGACACACGGACACACACAGAGACGCATGTGACTCCCTGACACCAGACCTAGCTTGGGGCTCAAAATGTTTACACCTAGCTACAGGGAGGGGGTGGCTACTCACCGTGCCAGAATTCACGTATTTCTTTTTCTTCATTTTCTTTTTTGGATTTACCACCTGTGGGAAAAACCAGTTACCAGGTAAGAAATGTTTCCATGCAGTCAGGGCTGGGCCCCTAGGGCTTCCACCTCCCCCTGGGTGTGGCCCCAGCAGAGTGTGGGGTGTGAAGACCACAGGGGCCAGGGGAGTGGGGTTTAGGAAGGGTTTGTGGGACACCGGCATTTAGTTACACATCTGGGCTCCCCAATCAGACCCAGCCTTCTAGTCTCAAACATACCAGGAATATTTATTTCACCTTCTTTCCCACTGCTCCCCTTTGTGCAGCCAAAGGGTAAAGCGATCCCGTCTGTGCCTGTTACTTGTGTAGGCTCAAGCTGCTCCCCTCACCCAAGATGCCCTCCTCCCTTCCCTCACCAATTCCAATCCTCCCTCCCTCCAGCCCAGGGACTGCCCCGGGGCCTCGGAGACTCCTCTCTGGGTCACCACTGCCCTTACATGGCAGTAAGAACCTCCTTAACTGTGCTTCACATTTAAGCTTTAACTTCCAAACTAGACCGGTCCTCACATAATAAATCACAAGGCTAGGGACAGAGTGGGTGCTCAAAAAAGACTTGTTGGTGGGATGGCTCAGTGGTCTCAACTGGGGGTGGTTTTGTCCTGCAGCAGACATCTGGTAATGTCTGGAGAGTTTGGTTGTCACAGCTAAGGGAGGGGGTAGAGGCCAGGAATGCTGTGAGACATCCCACAATGCACAGGACAGCTCTTACAAAGAATGACCCAGTCCCAAATGTCATTAGTGCCAAGGCCGAGAAACCCTGGGCTAAGTGAGGACAGCCACCTTGCCCTGTGGGCCCCTTGCATGCACCCTCGTCTGAGGGACTTTCACACTTACTAGACATGTACTCTCACTGTGTCTCACCAGTTGGGTGTTTTGTTTTTTTTTCAACATGGTCAACCTAGGCACAACCTTTCCCTGATGTCCCATCACACAAAGCAAGGCAATTTTCACACCCGCTCTGCCGCCTGCTGGTTTCCAGTGAACTCACTTCCCCCTGCCATGCCTCCTGTTCATCCCGAAGGGGCCGAGGAGCCATCAGCTGCACCTTTAGCTGTGGTCTCTTCTGTCTGAAAGAGTATTGAAATCCCCCTCTGGAGATAAGGAAACTAAGGCACAGAGACACCAAGGAATTTGCCTAAGGCCACACAGCCATCTAGGTAGTGATAGGATTGGGCACCAGGTTTCCTAACCCCAAGCCAATAGCGCATACATTGGTGCCACCTTGATAACAAATACAAAAACATCCCTTCAACACATATTTATGGGGTAGGATGGGGGTACCATTCTCTCCCCTAAAATTGTCACTCTGGTTGGAGTAAGAAGATAGTCCAAGTGATGAGGGCAACAAAACAAGGGGGGTCAGAGAAGTGTCAGGGGAACTGGGAGAAGGAAAGGCCATTCCAGGCGGGAGCATCAGCAGAGGCTCCCTGGAGCAGGCAGTATTGAAGGCAGACTTTGAGGGACGGGAAGGCTTTGGGCATGGAGAGATGGATGTCAGAGGAGAGGCTGTGGGGGGAAAAGCACAAAACTGGGTCCAGTTTGATTGCAAAACCACAGGGCAGAAGAGTAAGTTGGGCTGGCTGGGAGAGAGCCTAGAATGTCAAGCGAAATGTCTGAATGTTACCCAGCAGCCAGCAGGGAATTCTGGTGACCTCTAAACTGGTAGGTGACAAGATCAGAGCAGGCTCTGGGATGCTGGGACCTGGTGGAGGTGAGAACAAGGGGAGGAGGAGGGACATCCAGGGAATGTTTGCCTGGTTCTGCCACCTGACGGCTGTGTGACCTTAGGCAAGTTACTTAACCTCAGTGTGCCTCAGTTTCCCCATCCATAAAATGGGAATACAAAGTGCCTACCTCACAGAAACGCACATGGATTAAATGGGTCAATACAAGTAAAGTGCTTACAACAGGTTCTGGAATGTATTAAGTACCACAAAAGTGTAGCTGCTATTATTTTTGTATTACTGTTACTACTACTGCTGCCACCACTAACTCAAGGTGAGAGGTAATGAGGACCTGGGGGGTGTTGGGACAGGTGCTGAACTATGGCAAACAGCACTGTCAAGAAGTGAACATGTATCTCAGGCCCTGGGGGTGGTTGTAGAGGTGTGTGGGGGGTCAGGAGTGACCGGGAAGACACAGAAGGAAGGAGGAGCTGGATTTGGGGCACAGGTGGGAGGGTCTGGGTGAGATGCTGAGTGAGCCTGGGGAGGGAAGCCCAGAACCAGCTCGGGGCTCCCTCTTTAGCACTGGAAGATGCCCCTCCCCAGGCATGTGTGATGTCCAGATGACAGGGTGCTCACAGACACATCATGGGAAAATAGCTCCCTAAGTAAGCTGTTCAGATGAGGGCAAAATCGTAGCCCCAATGCTGCACTGTACCTCAGTTTCCCATCCATCCCATGGGGGTGCTGAACTATTAGAACCAAGTGCATCTCCAACTTTTGCTCCAAAGTAGCCCTCCCAGCTGAGGAGAATGAACAGGGATAGACTCCTGGGCTCTGGGTGTAGCCCAAAGACCTAGCCACAACCATATTTCTTTGAAGCTTTCTGTGTTATCTTTAAATTAGCCTGTATCCACATTTCCACTCTCTAATATAACTGTTTTAATGTTAAAGCAATGTTTTGTTCTCAGATCTTTGTGTGAAGTGGGCACTGAAGAAGTTCCCTGTTTACCCCGAGGTTTCATGTGCTCCCCACAGCACACCCCTTCCCCAGGAACCAGCCTCTCCAGCCCTAAGTGGCTGCCAAGGGGAAGTTCCACAAAGGGGACCGGCGCCTCCTAGGGGCCGTCCCGGGAACCTCCCCACTCCACTAAGCATCCTCCTTTTCCTCTCCCAGCACCCCCAGGACAGGTCTGGGTTGTGCCCTCCTGTGTACAGGGGCACTGAGTGGCTCCTAGGAGACAGGAGCTGTGCTGGCCCTGGGGATGCAGCAGTGAGGGAGACACTGCCCCCACCCTTGAGGACCTCGTGGCCCACCCCAGGTGAAAGCACCAGCATGAACCAAGCCACAGAGGCTGACGCAGCACGGGGTTCTGAAAGCTGCAGAGAGCAGGATGTGGCTGCAAGTGGGAGACAGGCAGAAGAGAGGGGCAGGAGCCAGCTGCTAGGGGCCTCTACTTACATACAAAGATTGCAGGTGGCTGGCAGGGGCATAATATCGATACAAAGGAGCTTGGGCTTTACCCAGTAGGTTAGTGGATCTCAGCTGGGGTAGGGGAATATTTCGGAATCCCGTCCCACTTCCCCTGTGCGAACCAGGCTGAGGTGGTGGGTGGGATGCCCAGACAGGTTTTAAGCATGGGAGCAATGTGGTCAGATTACCATTTGGGTGGAGCACTCAGGTTACTGTGTGGAGGATGGAAGGAGGTGGGACGGCCATTAGGAGGCTGTCACAAAGCCCCCTATGGGGAGATGATGAGGATGATGATGGCAGACTGAGATAAAGGGAACAAATGTCAGAAAATTTAGGTGGTAGAAGGGCAGTGTTTAGTTGTGGAGTGAGGGGTGGGAGATGTTAAGGGTGACTCATAAGGTGCCTTGGGCCTCTGTGATGGGAACATACGAGACGGAGCCTGTTGGCCATGAGGAGGGGAGGGCTGAGGGAGGTTCAGCCAATGCATTTTATTTTGGAAGGCCAAGTCCAAGGAGGGACCAGCAGACAGCTGGACATAGAAGTCTGATACTCGGGTGATGCCAAGGGCCTGGGATGTGGGACTTTACTAGTGGAAGCCTGTTCTCTGTTCAGGTGATCTGACTCCAGCAAGGCCTTCCTGAGCCCAAACCAGGTTCCCAGTGACACCCCCAAGGTCCAAGGTCTGCCCCTGGGGCCGCCAGAATTGAACTCCTTTCCCACCCGATGGCCTTTGCATGTGTGAAGACAGCACTTCCACTGCCCAGCGCAGCAGTTTCTCTTATTGACTGCAAAGAAGCAGAGATCAACGACCAAGGAAACAAGACAATCCAACATTTTCTGCTTTTAGCCTGAGACATCGTGGCCTCTTCTAAGCCTGTCTATCACTTTTAGAAGCCAAACTCCAAGATACCTGACCCTTTCCCATCACCTCCTTACAAATCTCCTTAAGGAATGCCAGAGGAAGATGGAGTCTGCTTCTCTCTGCCTGGGTTGGGGGCAAAGATGGCCTCTTCCTTTGTAGATGCAGAAAACAAAGCAATTTACTGCAAACATCGGAGCCCTTTCAAAGGAATTCATCCGCACTCCATCTTCACAATAACCATTTTCAATTTAATTCAGTGTGACTGTATAACAAACACCTACTGTGTGCCCACTAGCAGTGCTCTGGCTGGTGAGTGGGGCCAACAGAAATGGCTGTCACCTTGCCTGCCCTTGGGAGGTCTAGTTGAAACACAAGACCTGCCCACTCTGAACAGAGAGAGAGTGCGAAGGAGTGGAAGCATCGAGGGATTCAGATTCAGTGACAGGACTCAAGGCCAGTTCTCCAGCTCACTAGCTGAGTGGCTGCTAGCAGAAGGGCAGCGCCGGTACGGTAGGATGGCTGTGAAATGTGAATCTCCTGGCAAACGGGCGCTCAGCAGATGCCAACAGAAGACAGCGCTGACCTCCAGACCAGGTGCTGTTCCATTAGCTTATTTAATTCTCAGTTTGCATGGCACAGAGTGGTTCAGGGACTTAGCCAAGGTCACACAGCTAGTCAGTGGTAGAGTCAGGATATGAACGCAAACAGTTACTAGGGTTATAAGTATCTGCCATTAAGTGGGCTTGGCATGAACTGTGACATCCATGAAAGTTCAGAAGAGAGAGAAAGCACCAGAGGCCAGAGGCTAGGAAGGCCTCTCAGAGGGGCAGGGGCCGAGCTAGCTTTGGAAGGTGGGGAGGACACTCCAGGAGGGAGTACACACCAAAGCAAGGGCTCAGTACAGAAACTGCCCTTTGAGGGCAAATGCCACCTCTCCAGAGAGATCAGCTCCAGGTCTAGACCTAGGAAGGTATCCTGACTCTTTTCCTGACTCTCCTGGAAAAGGTAAGATATTCAGCAGGCCTTGAAACTATTCTGACTGAAGGCAGAGGACTGCCTTGAACTCAAGACCTCAGGTCTCAAGCCCAGAACCTTCTCACACTGTACTTCACCTACCCCGCCTCCACTCTTACACCCCCACCCCCTTGCTGGAAGTGCCCTTCAGGGGGACCCCATAACTCAGTGATTTGGAGTTATAAGTCTGGGTTGTTTACCTCTTGATTCTGCCACTTACTGAACCACGTGACTTTGGCCAAGTCCTCACACTTCTCTGAGACTCGGTCTCCTTAACTGTAGAATGGGACAATAACTCCTACCTCACAGGAAAACACACAAGCCCCCAGCCCCGTGCATAGCTCGCCATAGTCCTCAATGACTGGGAGCCATCTGTCATCAGAGCAGACCCGCCTCACCTCATAGATGTTGAACTGGCTCTGCCCACGGGCCAGCTCCCGGTAGCTGGTGGTGAACTCCCCAATGAAGTCATGGCTGCAAGAGAAGACCACTGCTGAGACCACTAGGCCCAGGCTGTGCTCCGCCTCTGCCCACCCCTGCCTCCCACACATCCCTTCCCCGGGCTCCCAAGCCTGCCCAGGGCTCCGCTCCAGGGGAACACGCCAGCAGAGAGGTTGGGTCCCTGGGAGGAGAGCCCAGTATCACCATGGAGCAAGAAACTCAACAGTCACCTAGCCACCGGCAGGGCCTTGCAGGAACAGGACCCACTTCTACTTGGATTCTTGTGTGAACAAACCAGCAATAAAAGGTATTTGAGGAAATCTGGATAAGAAATGAATACTGGATGGTATTCAAGAATTATTGTTCAATGTGTCAAGTGTGATAATGGCATTTGTAGTTATGTGGGAAAATGCTCGTATTTTGTAGACATTCCCAATGAAATAGAGGTAAAATGCCATCATGTTTGTAATTTACTTTAAACTACATTGGCGAAACATAGATAAAGTAAATATGATATAAATTTGACAGTTGTTAACTTTAGGTGATGGGCTTAAAGGTGTTCATTAAACTCTTCTCCAATTATACTGTTTAAAAAGACCATTAGAGTGATGTCCAGCCAGGCAGCGGGGGCTCTTTTCTGCAGTGCCCACATCTTCTGGAGCATGTTGATTGAGTTCATGTTAAGTGCAGCATAAACCTACACAAAGCGGAACTCCCATTGGCCCTGTGCTTGGCTCCCTGTAATCTCCCTGTCCCTGCTAGAGGGCAGTGGTCAGTGCGCTGGCTGGGGGTGTCCAGCTGGAAAGTGATGCCAGGAGGTGTCCCAGGGGCCAGGCCCTGCTGCGAGTGCACACTGTATTGACTACATATTTACAACTCTCAGCCTTCTGACTCTGAACAGCTTGATGGTGGGACCCGATGGTACCCGGTGGCTGTCACCAGCTGACATGGAAGAGGAGAATATTCTAGGTAAAGGAGAAGTATGAAGAATGCCAGGGTAAGACAAGGCAAATCGTGGGTGGAAACATGAAGACTTGTCTGGTTGCGAGGTGGTTAAAGAGGAGAGGAGAGAGGGAGTCAGCAAGACAACGTTGGCACTGGAGTTTCTTATGGGACGGCCTCAGGAGAAGCGAGTTCTTTGGAGGGGGCTTGGGCCTAATTTGAGCTGCATTTGCACAGCACATTATATAAGACGACATAATATCCCTGTCCACATCACAGACTTGGGAGGTACCAATGGAGATTATGGGACTTTGAAGTCCCCCTCCGTCACTCCTTGGTAGTGCCACAGAATGGAGAGGTCACACAAGTCAGGATGACATATTTGGATTTGGCCCAGCAGACCAGTAGAAGCCAGGATGGTTCTGGACTAAAGCTTCAAGAAGCTGCTCTTGTCCTCACCTATGAATTCCCAGCAATACTGACTCCTTGGGGGCATTAGATCTGCGGAAGGGGAAGGAACTGGCCCTCCAAAGACCCTGCATGGGAATTACCCTCCCACTGGCCAGGCACAGCCCTGCTCAGGCACTGGCTCAGGGTTCCTGAGTCCACATGTGCATCAAGGCTCAGCCTTCCCACAGCCCCTTCCCTCGATAATTCGCTGTCTGCAAACAATCTCTGATGAGCAAGGGATGGACATGGGTGATTGGCCTCCCCACTAGATTGCAAGGAGTCTCTGAGGGCTGAGCTCATTTTCTACACCTTGGCCACCCACAGTTCTTAGGCTAACCAGGGCCCCACACAGAGACCGTGTCAATGAATGCTCAGGGGGTCACTGGTCTCTGTACCCTAGAACATGCACACTTCAGGAAATCCTAAATCCTGCCAAATGTGGGGAGATTGTAGGCTCTGGCTGACCACTGGGCAGCTATGTGGGGACCCTTGCACCAAATCTTCCATGACAGTGGTCCTCTGATGCCTCAGTGGGGCTCAGCTACCATAGCAGCAGACCCCTCCCCCACAAAAACCCAGGCCACCCCCAGAACTGCCTGCCATGGGTAGGGGCCTGGGCAAAGCTCTCCCCATGAGGGTAGGGCCCAACTCCCGCCCCCCACCCCTCTCCCCTGTGGCCGTCCCCTCCCCCACTCACCTTCTCACCTCTTGCCCTCATGCCTGCTTACCTGCCATCTCGATCCCAGTCATACACCTCCACCTTGATGGTCCTGTAAGACAAAGGGCCCTTGGTGGGATGGGCCTCGCCTCCCACCTGCATGTCTTGAAGACAGGGTCTGCCTCATCCTCCTGGACCAGAAGGGGATGCAAAGAAACCCTCTAGGCTCTAGGACCCTGGGAGGCAGGGTAGCAGCCCGAGACAAAGAAGCTATCTCGAGGCTTTTGAGCAAAGGTCTTAGGTACAGAGGCAACCCTAGAGCTGCGTGGGGACTTCCCGGAATTTCAAGGAGGATGTGGAGAAAGCCTCAGACTTCAGTTCATTCCACCTTCTTCTTGGCCACTCCAGATGGAGCATAAGCCCCAGCATGACGCTGTGCTTTGGATTTATCAGGGGTGGGGCTATGATGGTGGGAGTATGGCGACCCCCGGGTCTCAGGCCTAAGCAGGGTGGGTTCCTCTGGGGAGGGGAATAGGACTGCTTGGTGGGCCCCTGGCCCTAGGAGTTGGAGTGGGGAGGAACCAGCCCTGCACATCAGGGATGGGCGCCAGGCCCTGCCTTGGGGATGGCCTGCTGAGATTTTCCATCCCCACGACTGGCTCCTGAGTGAGGGTGTAATTATCTTCACATTTTAGCCTCACTGCTTTAATTAGTTTGTTTTGACTCCTATGCATGGGGCTGGGCTTTGAGAGCCTATTTTATTTTTAGCCACGTTCCCATGGCAACAGGCTAGCAGACCAGAGCAGAGAAGAGGGAGGTGGAAAGCTGCTGGTTAACCCTTGGTGCTGGCTGGTCCCTGGGATGCCCAGGGACAACAGAGCTGCCGGGGTCCCACAGCAGGGTCAGGGTCTGGGGAGGTGGGAGAGGCCTAGGGAGCTGGGGTCTCCAACCCTCAGTTCTAAACAAGGTTCAAAGAGGCAGCTGCCTGGGCCTGTCTTCTTTTAATATCCCTTCATCGTGACCCATCTCCTTGGGTCTCCAGGAGTTGGCCTCTGGGTTCTGTGTCCCCATTAGGCAGTCTCCCTTAAGATGAGCCTCCTTGGGACAGATTCTCCCGCATCAGGGCAGAAACTATTCTGGAATGAAGGAACACCCGGAAGGTAGTGCAGACTGCATTTTCGTAAACCAGAACTCGTGTAAAATGGGCATAGAAGCCCACCCACTTGAAGGAATTCTTTAAATTCTTGTGAAAAACAAAAACTGTGTTTCTCTGAGATATATTATTGTGGCAAAAAACCCCTAAGCCCCTGAAGATGGGCTGGTAAGCTGGGAAGAGTGGGAAGGGGCTAGGACGTGAGTTGGATGGCCCTAGGCTTGGATGCTGGACTGTGGCCCTAGGCTTGGATGCTCTCACTGTGGGACCTGGAGAAGTTGCTTAATCTCTCTGAGCCACAAACTATCATTTGAAAGTAGGGATAATATCAGCCTTGCAGAATAGCTACAAAGACAAGTTGGTAAAACTCACCTGCCACATGGGAGAATCTCAAAAAATACCTCCTTCACCCCACTTTATCATTTGGCTGTACTCAGATAGTTTTTCATATAAAATTTACTTAAATTAGGGGCCACTTGAGCCTGGGAACCTGGGCTCTGCAACTTCTGAATCCTGGAATAACAATGCTGGAAGTGATCCTAGTGGCATCTAAGCCTCACTACCTGGCAGAATCACCAGGAAGCTTTGCAGACACACAGACTGCCAGGCCTGGTCCTCACAGATCTGCGGCAGGCCCAGGAATGTTTTAAAGCCCTCCTTAGTGACCATGCTGTGCATGTTCTGGAGTGATAATTTTACCCTCCATATTTTCACATGGAGAAACTGTGTCCCCAGGGCCCCCAGGACTTGCCCAGGGTCACACAGATGATGAGGATCTGAGCCAGGACAAGACCAAGCCCCTTACTCCCAGTCCAGGGCTCTGGCCACAGCTCCACAAGGCTGAAGTCTCCCTGTCCCCACATAGCTGCCTCTCAGTCCTTCCCCAGAGCCCCCCAATTCTGCAGAAGTCTTCAAAGACTCCAGCAAGGGGTGCCTCTCCTCCATCCACCAACACCAGCACCTTGGGTGACTAGATGAGTGACAACCAAGCTCAGAGGCTTAGGAGGACCCCAGTCATGGTGACAGCCCTGGATAGCCACAAAATCAGTTGGGAGGTTTTTTTAATCCCACCACCAGAGGGCGCGCTTTAATTGGTTTGGATAGAACTCAGGCATGGGTCCGTTCCCGACTTTTTTCCTTTTTTCGTGTCCGGCAACGGACCGCAACCCTCAGTGTCGCGCCCGTACCAGACCGGGACCGGCAACGGGATCGCAACCCTCGGTGCTGCGCCCGCCCCTCGCTCAGCCAGTGAGCGGGAACCGATCTGTATGTTGGATCCGAACCCTCCGCAGGAGCGCCACCGCACTCCCAAGCGGTGCACTGTAGCAGTGCGCCACCGGGCCGGCCCCCCGACTGATTCTTAACATGCAGAGATTCAGAATCAACTGGTCCAGGGTACAGCCTGGTATGGGGACTGTTAAAAGTTCCCCAGTGGGGCCGGCCCGTGGCTCACTGGCTGAGCGTGGTGCTGACAACACCAAGCCAAGGGTTGAGATCCCCTTACTGGTCACCTTTAAAAAAAAAAAAGCTCCCCAATGGATCTGAACTTGAGCCGAAGTTGAGACCACTGAGTGTGCAATTCTGTGCAAACTCAGCCTGGCCTGAATCAGGCTCCAAGGATGGCTGCAGCCTGGAGGTCAGATTAGGTCAGCGGCTGCAACCTCCAGCCTTGAAGGAGAAAGAGGGGAAATGATGTCCAGAGACAGGGGAAGGCAGTGCAGAGAAGCCAGAGAGAACTTTGGCTACTCTATTTACAGTCTGTTTCTGTCCAGCCCTGGCTGTGCTGCCTCGGGCCACCACAAGTGCCACTTATGGACTGAAGGCCTTGGCTCCCGACCTCATAGCACAGGCCCAATGAAGGCATATGTCAGGCTGACTGACTTCTGGGGACAGCACCCAAGAGAATGGGCTCCTGGGCATGGGACAATGAAACAGGCCCTGCGGCCCAACAAAATGATCATCTTATTTGGGGTAAAAAGGCTCAGAACACAGAGCCCCAATCTGGGAGGCAGCGAGGTAGACAGGCAAGACGTCAGGCTCTGGGGCGAGCAGCCCTGGTGGCAGTCCCAGCTCTTCCAGGTACTAGGTGTGTGGCCCTGAGCAACTGGCTTAACCCTCAGAGCCTCTAGTCCTCCATAGAATGGGATAATCGCACCAACTCTGGAGTTGCTGTGGAAGTAACGACATCATTCACATGGCCAGCATTTGACACGTTATTCTGCTCCTGTCTAAAACATGCAACCCTTTTCCCCAAGCTCCTGTCTCCCAAACAATTCCTATTCACCATGAAGATGTCAGCTCCGTGAGGCCAGGGATTTTGTTTACTGCTGATCTTCAGCTTCTAGAACAGTGCCTACCATATACAGTATTAGGCACTCCCTAAATATTTGTTGGCTGACTGAGATCTCCTGACTGAGATTCTCCATTTTGAAATGGGATATGCAGGTAACAATACCCTCCTTCCACAAAATCACATAAAAAGGCCCAGAGTATGTGGCTTTCCCTGCATCATACAGCTGGTCAGTAGTGATGCCAGGAGCCAATGTACTGGGCCTCTGGATACCTAGGGCCAAAATGACAGAGACAGGTGTGTGTGAGCCTTGGCAGGGATGAGGGATGCTGGCAAAGGCGCCAGGCCTCCCTCCCTGCGCACTGACCAGCTCTATCTATAGTTTCCTCCAAGCCCTGAGCTGCAAGGTCTTCCTCCTAATGAGCCTCTCCCAGGCAAGGAGAAGGTACACTTCCCTGATGCTTTCAAGTCGCAAGGTCTGACAGGCCCTGAGGGGTTTGCCCTAAATTGACGGAATCAGTCCAACACTCCCAGAGGCTTCGGGGAGGAAGAGAAGCATCAGGGCCTCACCTGGGGCAGCAGTGAGACTGGCATCCTGGGCACAGGGCTAAAATCCCAGCCTCCAGCTGGGCCTTGTGTGGACTGGAGATACAGCAAAGGCAGGGGTACCTCAAACCATAGGACTAGCCCAGAGGTGACTTCTGCAGAAGGGAAATGTACTTTCTCCTTACTCTCGCAAGTTATACAGTCCTAGTCCTCTGTTTCCCCATCTGTAAAATGGGCACATCACTAGAACTTATCTTCTAGGGTTATCGTGAAATTTAAATTCACAAAGTAACACAATGCATTTAAACTGGTTAGAACTAACTTGGCCTGTGTCCTAAATACTCAGTAATTTTAGTAATATTAACAGGTTTCTACCTTCCTTGTTTCAATGAAACTGCCCTTTCTCAGCAGATCCCTGGCTCTCATCCTCCCGCATCTCTTTCCTACAATAGGAGTCGACTCTTCTGTTTGAAGTCTCTCTCAGATCCCTGGCGTGGCTGCCCTCCTCTATGTCCCCTCCTATGTCTCTGATCATCTCCTCTGCCTTCTCACTCCTGACCTGTGGCATCCCCCACAGGGCCTCGGGTCCCTGACCACTGCCCATCCCCATCCTGGGGACTCCCAGACCTCTGTCCTCCTCCTTTAGCTGTGCCTGACCCACGAACCATGTTTACCTCTTCTTTCCCCAACCCTCTCAACAGCAGCACCTCATTTTCAAAACAAACTGATAACACCAAGGCCCTGGGTTCGGATCCCTATATAGGGATGGCCGGTTAGCTCACTCAGAGAGCGTGGTGCTGACAACACCAAGTCAAGGGTTAAGATCCCCTTACCAGTCATCTTTAAAAAAAAAGAATCTGGCTCCCAGTTACACGTGCTATTTCTGTTGGAGCCACCACCTTCTTCCATCCGCCAAGCTCCAGACCATGGTCTTTACATCTCTTTTACTCTCATATCCAGGCAGATATCAAGGTCTTTTGAGTCTTCTTTCTTGCTGTTCCTCTCTCCTCTCCTCTCTGAATCATTTGACAGAAGGACTGTTAATGCTTTCAGGATTAAAACCAACTCCAAGTGGTCTCCCACCTCCAATCCCAAAGCAGACCTGCCCCTAAGCCCTGGGCAAGGTGCTCATTACAGAGCCACCTCCAAATGCATCCCCATCACAGCTCCGTCACACGGTGTCTTGGCTACCTGGAAACAGCATACGGGGGTTAAGAACACAGATTCTAGGGCCGGCCCGGTGGCGCACTGGATAAGTGCGCCATTTGGGAAGCGCGGCGGCGCTCCTGCCTGAGGGTTCGGATCCCACATACAGACCGGTTCCCGCTCACTGGCTGAGCGAGGCGCGGGAGCAGCACCGAGGGTTGCCTGCACTGGGAACAATGAAAAGGCAAGCTGCTGAGCTCCAGGCCTGGGCACCTGCGACACCCATCTGGGTTTCCCTGGAATCCCAGCCACTCCCCAGCCCCACAGCCTTGGGAGTCTCCTAGCATTGTGGATGCCAGACAGGGAAGGACAAGGTGGAGCAGGGTGGGGACAGGAGCGTGTGACGCCATGACAGGGAGATAGGAAAGGAGCAGGGAGGCTCTTCAGGTCCCACCCTGTGCAGATCACCCACTGCATAGGTCCAGAAGGCCCCATTTGTACCAATGGGACTGACCACATTGATATGAACTTGGCGAGGTCACAGGTACGGGAGGAAAAAAGAAGGGATGTTTTCTCATCTCACCGATCATAGTCCCCGTTGCAGAGGGCTCTCACAGGAATGGAGAACGTTTGCCAAACTGGGTTTAGGGTGTTCTTCATGACCTCAGTCTTGTGGCAAATGGTGAACCTGGTGAAGAAGAGAGGGAAAGACTGTCAGACCTGTACCCAAGGAAGGCAGAAGCCAGGTCAACATAGGAGCCAGCTGGTTGACATCTCCAGTTGCCAGACACTGGAAACTATGGCTTCAAAAGGTGAGGAGCTGCCTCCCGCTTAGCAGCAGCCAGGCTGAAATTAGGAAGGCATTTCCTGGTGATGCTGTGGGGAGGCTTCCTGCACCAGGTGGGGACCTGGACTGAGGGGACAAGTCCTGGAGTAAGTGTCAGGAGATCTCAGTTCTGGCCCCTGCTCTGGGGCCAACTCACTGTGTGACCTTGAGCCAACCCTTCCCTCTCTGGGCCTCCATTTCCTTCCCTGTAAACCCAGGGAGTTGGCCTCTGTCAAAGATTCTTCTCCTGAGATCCATGGAAGGATGTGTGGATGGACTTTAGGGGTCTGTGAACCCCTGAAATTGCAGGCGAATTTGCGTGTATGAGTTACGTATGCCTGCTGCTGCCCCTGCCTGGAACATTCTCTTCCCCATTTCCATCTTCAAGGCCTACCTCCTCACTACCTTCAGGTCGAATGTCATTTCTGTGAAACCTCCCTGACTACCATATCTAAAACCTACAATCCCCTGGTCCCCTGACTCTGACATTCCTTAGTTCCTTCCACGCTTTTTTAAAAATTTCATTTGTGGGGCCGGCCTGTGGCTCACTCGGTAGAGTGTGGTGCTGATAACACCACGGCCACGGGTTCGGATCCCTATATAGGGATGGCCGGTTAGCTTACTTGGGAGAGCGTGGTGCTGACACCAAGTCAAGGGTTAAGATTCCCTTACCAGTCATCTTTAAAAATAAAATGAAATAAAATAAAATTTCATTTGTCACCATTTGACATTTGGTCACAGTCTTTTTTTTTTTTTTTCTTCCTTTTTTGTTCTGTTTATGATCTGTTCTAAAATGTATGCTCTATAAGATCAAGGATTTTTGTCTTTTTTGATCACCGGTATATCCCTAGAGCCTGGAACAGTGTCTGGCACTTAGTAGGTATTCAATAATTTTTTTAAAATGAATCAATGAATAAATGTATTTTCCAGGGGAACGTTTCCTTAGCTTTCACTGGCATTTAGTATATCCCTAGAGCCTGGAACAGTGTCTGGCACTTAGTAGGTATTCAATAATTTTTTTTAAATGAATCAATGAATAAATGTATTTTCCAGGGGAACGTTTCCTTAGCTTTCACTGGCATTTCAACCTAATGAAACTCAAGCCCTGACTTAGATGATCTCTAAGACCCTTTCAGCTTTTCCAGTCTGAATCCACGAACCTGCTTTGTGAACTAAAAGTGCAGAATTGGCTTGTCCCAGCTGGGCCCCAGTCCACTGTCCCTGCATACTCCCCACACCACACCTGGCTGCCCCATCCTGGAAGCCAGCCCTGCCACATGGGTGGGCAGCCCGGAGCAGAGCTGGGCTGGGGCAGGGGCCTCTCTCCAAGATCTCCCAGCGTCTGCCCCAGCTACATTCCGGCTTGGAAAGGTCATCCAGGAAGTGCCTGGGCTCCGCCCACACCCACACAGCCTGTGCCATTTCTTCTCTGGCAGTTTTCAAGTCAAAATGTCATTCCTGTCACTGTGGCTCAGCGTTTCTCTCCTCTGCTCTTTCTCGCCCACCCACTGGATGTGGAGATACATGTGGGAGACCTCCCCACACACCCCGGAGCAGGTGGCGAGGACAGGAAGGGGAAGGGGGCATGTGGGGCCGCAGCTGCCCATGGCTGGGGCAGGCTGGCAGGGCAGCAGGAGGCTGGGGGTGAGTGTGGGGGGCCCGAGGGATAACAAGGCGCAGCGAGTGGGTGGTGAAGGGAGGGAGAATCACATTGCACAGAAGTCTTTCTGGGCTCCAAGGACCTCCTGCCCTGGAATGGTCACACAGACCTGTGGACCCTCCCCAGCCTCTCCTTCTCCTTTGACAGCCAAACTTCCTGACCAGGTCTTCTAAGCTATTAGCCCAATTTTCCCCCTGCTTGTTCCTTCCTGGACCCTGTGCAGTCTGATTTCTGCCTCACACTCTTGCCTGGAGCTGCTTTCCTTAAGCTCCCCCAAGCCTCCCATGACCACAGGCCCCCTGACTCCTCTGCTGCACTTGCCATGGTGGAGGGGCCAAGCCCTCATGTGGAAATGGTCCCTGTGATCATCTCAGTGCTCAACTCATTTTCACACATATTCAGGGCATGGTGCAGGAGACGTTACCCAACGGAGTCAGACACGTGGGTTCTAGTCCCAGGGTCACTACTTACTAGCTGTGCATCCCTGGGCAAGTGACTTTCCCTCTCTGAGCTTTCCTCTCATTGTAAAATGGCGATAAGAACAGTAGCTAATGCTGGCAGGTCCTGTTCTAATTACACATATTAACTCACTTAATCATTGCAGCGACCCTGCGAGAGAGTTGCTGCAATCACCTCCACTGTACACAAGGACACTGGGCTGCAAAGTCATCACAGCTGCACTGGCCAAAATGGTAGCTACTGGCCACATGTGGTTAGCTAAGCTTAATTAAAATAAAATGAAATGAAAAACGCAGTTCCTCAGTCGCACTAGCCCCATTTCAGTGTTCAATAGCCACATGTGGGTAGTGGCTACCACACTGGGTAGCAAGACACAGAACATTTCCATCATCCCAGAAAGTGCTACTGGGTTAGAGACTTGCCTGAGTTACACAGCTAATAACTGGCAGTGCCAGGCCAGGACCTGGCGGGCGGCCTGGCTGAGCCGCTTCACCGCCACATTCTGACTCCCAGGTGAATTACCTGCATTAGACAAGACAAGGTCAGTGCAGCTCCAGGAGCACAGCGGGTGCTCCGTGGACACTTCCTTTCCTGTCCCTCCTCCGTGGTGGGCACAACAGTTCACTCCCCTGCTTCCCACACTGACCTTCCTCCCATCCTCCTCCTGGCGGGGGTGTCTCCCGACCTTCCACTCTTCTCTCCTCAAACCCTTGGTGACCACCCTGTTCTCACCAGTTCAGCTTCTGTCCCTTCACAGCTGCCAAGAGGTGGGCCTCCAGATCAGTTTTTCCCGTGTCCCGTGGGATCTCCCCCAGGGGATCAGTGTCCTGCCCCCCAGAGAGCTCCAGCCCCCACTTCAAGTCAAACTTGCCCCCAAATAAACTCCTGTTACCTCTGCCATCTGACCAGCTCCTTCACCATTTCCAACACTCTGTGTTCCTGGGGTTCACTATCAGGGGATGGGGCTAGTGGATGGTCCCCATCCAAACTCTGCCCAGTGAGGTCTCCGTGCTGTGTCCTTTTGCCCCCCGTGCTCCCTTCCCCCGGCACGGCATCTCCACTGCAGGGCTTGAGCTCCGGGCGCTGGCAGCACCTCCCACCTGCTCACCGTGTCATCACGAGGCTCTCCCTCTCCCTCTCCCTCTCCCTGCCCCCTCCCCATCCATCCTACACATCACCCTGCTAGAACAAGGCATCTCCACTGCAGGGCTCGAGCTCCGGGCGCTGGCAGCACCTCCCACCTGCTCACCGTGTCATCACGAGGCTCTCCCTCTCCCTCTCCCTGCCCCCTCCCCATCCATCCTACACATCACCCTGCTAGAACAACCACTCGCAAACACCCTTGCAATGCACCCTTCTCCTGCTCCAAAATCCACCCCCACCCTCCTGGCCAGCGGGACAAGGCCGGTGTGCCCCTGGCTCTGTCTCTCTGCAGGGAACTGGTGTGGACACCCGAACAACACTCAGACCTTTTCCTCCCCCACCTCAAGTCAAAGCAAAGTCAACAGGAATTATTTAAAGAATGCTATGCTGCTGAGAGTCCTTTGGTGAGACTAAGACTCCTTTTGTTATGCAAATGATCATACCTAATTTCCCTTGTTTTGCATGTTCAGGTTTAAAAATCAGTTTTCCCTTGAACTGAAACACGCCTCCTCCCCGCTGCTCCCCTGCCTCCAAGACACACACACACACACGCACACACACACGCGCGCGCGCGCACACACACCCAGAATTTCAGAATCAAGCGGCGTTCAGAGAAGTCCTTTCTCTGGCCTGTTATTCTTCCCTGTTCCCCCAGCCCCACCCCATGGACCCATTTTCTTCTTCTCCTTCAAATCCTGCTTCCAAGTTCCCCTTCTCCAGCAGCGTTTTTCTAATTAACCTCCCTGGCCCCATCACTTCCTCATTCTGCAGAATCCCAGCCGTAAGTGGCCACAGCCTCCCAGAACTGCTGTGCTTAAAGAGACCGTGGAGACTACCTAATCCAGCTGGTTCATTTTACAGATAAGAAAACAGGCCCAGAGAGGAGGCATAACTTGCCCAGGGTCACACAGCAGGTTGGAAGAGAGAACCTAGGTCCCCAGACCCTTAACCCAGAATCCTCCTCTGTGTTTATTGCTGACCTACATTTGCCAGCGTGTTGCATATGCTCCCATCATATTGTGGGTGGCTTCTACACTGGGGAGAGGACAGCAGGAAGTGGGGGCTTCAAAGATGTCTGGAGTTTTGAGTAAAGCCTATGGCAGAGTGTGGGGCCAGGTTGGGGAAAGGGTCCAGATTTGCCATGATGAGTGTGCAGTAGTGGCGGACATAACGGGGTGTTCGGGGGCTTCAAAGATGTCTGGAGTTTTGAGTAAAGCCTATGGCAGAGTGTGGGGCCAGGTCGGGGAAAGGGTCCAGATTTGCCATGATGAGTGTGCAGTAGTGGCGGACATAACGGGGTGTTCAGAGGGCTGTGGACAGAGGGGACTGGGCTTGGAGATAGACTGATTTGTACAGAAGAATGAAGGGACTCTCAGAATGGTCCTGTGGGAGACTGGGCCCTCATTCCCCCCACCCTCGACATACCTAGCACCCACCGTTGCTAAGACCCTCAGAATGGCACTGCCAGCTCAGAGGCTGCCCCCAACCCCCACCAGCCCTGTCTACATGGTCAGGGCACTACCCTGGAACCCCAGACTTCCACCCCACCCTCTCCAGGGAGGCAGCAGAAGGAGCTGGACCACCCTGCCTGGCAAATCCC